AGAAGAGATGTTAGAGACATTCAGAGCAAATTCCCTTGTGCCTTGCAAGAGTTCACCTCTAAGAGCAAGCCTCATGGTTTCAAAGATTTGCACATGAAGGAAGAGAACTGGCCAGAGTATGAAAAAGCCTGGCAACTCCTTGTGCATTGAATACACACAGCTAGGGATTGAGTGTTTTTCTTGAAATTGTAGTGGAAATTAAAACTCTTGATCCTTACATTTTGTCATTAGTTAAAAGACTGTTGTAGGTGGCACAAACACATCTGTGGCCAAAAACTGTCAGAGCTTATAATCTGGCCAGGAAGGTTTTCTTACATTCAGCTCCACATTTCTTTGAATCCCAGTACTGAGTAATGCTTATGTGGTGGCCTTATTTGCTGCATGCAACTTGGCTAAGCTCAGCATCGTGTGCTGATTCTCTGAGATGATTGGCCTGTTTTCTATATTTTAGATTATTCCCAAAGAACTGCAAATGTCTACGGATATCTGTGTCAAAGGGAAGATGAGATGCTTACCTCTTTTCTCTTGCTTCCAGTGAAAGGTTTCGATAAACAGCAGGTTTTCAGTATCTTTCTTTTGTGACTACATGTTTCCTTCAAGGCTATCAGCAAGTTTCAGCATCAAAAAAGACAAAATTTTTGGCTTCTGGAATTAAGCCCAAAAGTGTGGCTAGAATTCAAAGCACCCCCTGATGTGAATGTTTTGTTAACACTAACAAGAGACTCAAAACATTACAAAAAGCTCCAGATGATTGAAGTTTCAGCATATTTCAGCAGTCTCCATGCAGCTGCTGTTCTGAACCTCAAGCAGCCTCTTCCAGCTCTCAATATTCAAAATCTAACTAAAGTTTCATTTTAAAGGATGTGTATAATTGCTTCTTATTGTTCCCATCTTTAGAGTGTGAACTCCCAGTGATAATGTGGCTCTATGTTTGCAGCCTCTTGCTGTCCTTTCTCTGTCCATCACTTTCTGTGAGTTGCTTTCATCAGACTGAAAGGGTCACCCCACAAAGGGGGGGAAAAAATCTGAACCCAGGCCCATTTTCTGAAATCTCTGCTCACATTTAGGAAGGATTGTCTTTCATTTTCTGCTCATCTGCAATGAGCATCTTTGCTGGAGAAAGACAGGTTTTGAGGTCTGGCCTCAAATGCATTTGTGTGTGTGTGTGTGTGTGTTTTTGTTGTTTTGTTTTGTTTTTCTATCTGAGCATTAATCTATCTTGCAGGATAAAGCCTTCTGCTCCTGCTTGCATACTGCACAGTCACACATGTCAGGAATAGTTTTTCTTCCTTTTAGGATGCGGGTTACTCCCTAGGATGTATCAGGTGCTGGAATTTAAATGCAGGAAT